ACCCAGGTATAAGAGGGGTCAACACTGCTGAGGATGTTCACCTTCTGAATGGAGAAGCAGCTAACGAACGCTCCAATTAGCCAAACAGGAACCATACGAAATACTTCACGATCCAAACAGCCGAACGGGAAACCATACGAATATAAATCCCCCCCAATGACGAGACAAAGCTCCGTATTGAGGGTCAAGCATTGATCTGGTTTTAATGGGGCTACCTGCCCGGTATTTATGCAGGTCTTCCACCAGGTGGACACTCCCCTAGGGGACCTGGTGGAAAACTGTAACAAAAATGACAAATTAACCAATCACAGAATTACAGGCATAAACACTCCCCTTTTACTGTACAGAACCCTCCTCTCTATCCCGGAGATAATTGGGAAGTAATTCAATTATCTCCCAGGATAGAGGCAAAACTCCATTTTACATATGGCAGCAAAAACACATAAAATATATAACTTACAAACTACCGAATGCACTGGGTACAATAGATTAGTGTTCAAACTCAAGGAAATCGGTCTAGATGAAAATGCTTGTTCTTGGGTAGAACATTGGCTTAAAAACAGAGTACAAAGAGTTGTCATTAATGGTAAATTTTCAAGCTGGACAGAGGTGGCAAGTGGTGTCCCTCAGGGGTCTGTTCTGGGACCCCTTCTATTTAACATGTTTATAAATGATCTTGAAGACAGCATTGAAAGTCATGTTTCAGTGTTTGCAGATGACACAAAACTTTGTAAAATAATACAATGTGAGCAAGATATTACTTTGCTGCAGAGGGATTTAGATAGACTGGGGGCCTGGGCACTCAAATGGCAGATGCAATTTAATGTTGAAAAATGCAAAGTTATGCACTTCGGTGTAAAGAATACACAAGCAACGTATACCCTTAATGGAAGCGAATTAGGGATAACAACACATGAGAAGGACTTGGGAATTGTTATAGACAACAAACTATGCAACAATGTGCAATGTCAATCAGCAGTGGCCAAGGCCAGTAAGGTATTGTCATGCATTAAAAAGGGCATTCATTCTCGGGACGAGAATATCATTTTGCCTCTTTATAAATCACTGGTAAGACCATATATTGAATATGCTGTGCAATTTTGGGCACCTGTTCTAAAGAAGGATATTATGGCACTAGAAAAAGTGCAGAGGCGGGCTACAAAATTAATAAACGGAATGGAACATATCAGCTATGAAGAAAGGTTAACAAATTTAAACCTATTTAATTTAGAAAAACGTCGCCTGAGAGGGGATATGATAACATTATACAAATATATTCGGGGCCAATCCAAACCATTGTGTGGAAATCTATTTACAAACCAGACTTTACATAGGACACGAGGCCATGCGTTTAGACTGGAAGAAAGAAGATTTCATCTAAGGCAAAGGAAAGCTTTTTTTTACTATAAGAACAATCAGGATGCGGAATTCTCTGCCTGAAGAAGTGGTTTTATCAGAGTCCATACATATGTTCAAACAGCTACTAGATGCATACTTGCAAAAACAAAATATTTAAGGATATAATCTTTCAATGTAGGGTAATAACTGTTTGATCCAAGGATAAATCTGACTGCCATTCTGGGGTCAAGAAATATTTTTTTTCCTAGCTTGTTGCAAAATTGTGCTTCAAACTGTTTTTTTTTTGCCTTCTTTTGGATCAACAGCAAAAAACAAATGTGAGGAAGGCTGAACTTGATGGACGCAAGTCTCTTTTCAGCTATGTAACTATGTAACGTATCCCCAGATAGCTTAGATCTAAGCGCACATTATTACCGAATAGCGCTCA